AGTTTGGAGATATCGGTGTTGTTTAGAGATTGGATAAATGCTGAGCGGAGAAATCAAGGACTTCCAAAGTTGGATAGTCAATTTGAACTTTTCATAGATTCCGCCATTGGATGTGGTAGTGACGATGGCATGGAACTTCAAGATCGTCAACGAGCTTTACCAAGACCAGTAGTTGATTACGGTCAATCTATAGCTGAGTTAGAGAAAGAATTTACGGGACTATACAACTATTAGTATTACATTTGAGGCTTAGTTGAAACAGAACCCTTCCTAGAAGGTGGCTGCGTAAACTATGCACTCTACTAATAGTTGTAAATTGTAATTTGTAATACAAATTTAAATAAATTAAAATATTGGATTGATATTTTTTAATTTGTGTCCGTGGTAATTAACCATAGAATCAAGAGATAAAAAGGTGGGTAAGTGATGGTAGTAGATATCACGAAATTCTAAGAAAACTGACCAAATGTCAGAACAAATTCTGACCACTTACTTTAATTACTTACATGTTCATATTCACAGACAAACTCACAAAAGCTAGTAGGAAAAATAAAATGGCAGCTGACACTTCCACAGTTCCATGCCACTAATCAGTAATCACTGTGACCTAACTTCTTTTGTTTTCTTCATTGCTTCACTGCCGTGTTCTTCTTCAATTATATTCCTTCGGTCCTTCCTCTCGCTTTTTTTTTTTTTGGTCTTTTTAATAGTACTTAACTACTTATCTCTAAATTACATATTTTGTTTTGCTATATTAGTAAGTATTCCTTCACTTTTTATAGCTACTTTATCAATATTGAACTTATTTGAACGAATTTATAACTTATGACTTATTTCAAACAAGACTCATATGTAGTGTGTGAGTCAACATGTCCTATAACAGAAAATGAGGAATTAGTTTTTTTTTTTGGGTATAGTTTTGAAATATTTAATTAATCTTATATAATATAATTTGAAAATTTACTCAAATTAATTCTAAATAAGTGATACATATTTTGTGACTTTGTGTCATTGTTTTATCCTTATTTTTATTTAATTTTTTAAAATTACAAACTTAAGTTATTTAAATTACAAGTTATAAATATAACTTATAAGTTATAACATATTAATAAGTAATAACTTATAAGTTTCAAAAGATTCAAATCTTGAAAACTTAAGCTCAAAAACATTTTTTTTTAAAAAAAACTTTATTAAACTTAACTTGCAAATTTAATAAGTAAAAATTAAAAAAAATATTTTTAAAATAAACTTAAGTAAAACTACATTATAAATTTCAAAAACTATTAATTTAAACTTAGAATCATTTTTTAAAATAGCTAGATGTGTCGTTCCGTTTATCCCGTCCCATTCCATTCCGGTTCGTTCCGGTCCGTTCCGGTTCCATCCCGGTATATAGTGGAACGGGACGGAACCGTGTATCCGTACCGGTAATTCCGGTCCGGTTCATCCCGGTACCGGTCAACAAACCGGTCAACCCATCCCGTTCCGGTCCGGTACCGGTTCATTCCGGTCCGGTGATTCCGTTCCGGTCCGACGCCCAGTCTTAGTCCTCCCCATACGTTAGATAAATCTTTATCTGCACACTCTCTTTTTTTAGGTTTTCAAACATTTTTCAATTTTTGCACATCAAAATCTGCGCTTTTTTAGAATTTCTGCACACCAAAATCTGTATATTTTTAATATTTTGCATACCATTTTCTACTCATTACAGAAAAAGGGTTTCAAATCAATTCAAAGATAATTATAAGAAAAAGAAATTAGGAGTTTTGACTGATTAATACAGTGAAACCTCTTTAAATTAATACCCGATTAATTAATAATCTCTATAAAATAATATTTTCTTTCGATCTCGAATTGGGTCAGTGAAAAAAGTCATTCATTTTGATAAGATATTATATTTTCAGAAGATTCCTATATAAATATATGGTCTCATTAATATGATTTAATTGTGTTTTGTTTTTTTGTTAAAATTTAAATCTAGTTGAAGCTCATATTTAGCTTTTCTTATTGCATCCAAAAGTGTCAGTGTTATCTTTTTGAACTGCACCACAAAACTGCGAAGAGTTCTAAGTGGAATTATAAGTGTTTTCTTACGCGTAATTGGCTCCATAGATATTATATCATCTTCAACTTTATCATCAACATTATATTTTTCAATGATATCCGCAATTTCTTCTAAGCTTTAAACCTCTGAACATGTATCATTTTCACTAATTCAACAGGTTATTAATGTCCATTTTATTGTGATAGTTGACATCGTCAATCACGATCTCAATTCTCAAGCTCATGAATGACGTTTTCAAAGGGGGTTCATTTAAATTATCTGAGATTTCATCACCGAATAAATTTTACGGTGTCGAAACACTTTTTAAATTAATATATTAATTTATTTATTAAATAATACCTCTATAAAATAATATATTTCATGGTTCCACCTATATTGATTTAGTGAAGTTTTATTGTAATATAGGAAAACTAATATAAATTTTAAAACATATTAAAGAGAGAATAATTAGTAGTGATTGATCAGTATGAGTTGTGGTGCACTGGTGAGAGTGTTTCACCCTTAATCAGAGATCTCGAGTTCAAATCCCCTGTTGGAGCGCCACCCCGAATGAGTCGGGTGGGAAACAAAACAAAACAAAAAAATTAGTAGTAGTGATTGAAGGAATGGATGTGTTTGGTTAATTTTAGGAAACCTAAAGGATATTTTCGGTTAAATGAAATAGTACAACGATAAAGTGACAGTTGAGGTGAAACAACAGGGATGAATTTGGTTAGAAATTCTTGCAGTGTTCCATGTAATTGCCTCTTTCTGAAATCGTCCTCGCTTTCAGTCGCATTATCCGTTTTTGCCTCAAACTTTATCCTACACCATATAGCTTTCAGTCTCCGTCTCTTGAGCTACCGATTTACTGGATACCGGCCGTTCATCTGAAAAAATAATGGCTGAAAGTTCCGATTCGACATTGCTTGATAAAGAGAGTGTCAGCACCACTGCAAATAACAAACGCGAAGCTCATTCTGATAGCTCGGATTCCGTAACAAAGAAGTTGAGAAGCAGCGACACTCATGAGGAGCCGAAGGCTGAAATCACTGTCCCGAAAAATGGAAGTGAATTGTATTTTGAAATAGAAGCTGATGCAGCTGAGGATAAGGGTTCCAGGCAGACCATGGAGGACGCTTCTGTTGTTCTTCCTGATGCTGACCTTGAATTTCCCGGGAAATTGAGGTTTTTCACTAACCCTAATTCCCAAATAAATTTGTGTATTTTACGTATGGATTAGCTTAATGTAGATAGGGTTTGTTTGACACTCCGCATAACTGGTTAATTGCTATTGAGGGAGATGAAAGAGTTGCGTTAGGAAAGCGATCACTCGAATACTTAGTCTTTTTGTTTTGGCGTTCTATTTGCTATTTTTTTAACCTGGTCTTTCGAAGATCTAATAGGACTCATAGCATTAGCTTAGAACAATGACAGCAACAACAACCGCATGTAATCACATGTAATCCCATGGAGTCTGGGGAGGGGTAGTGTGTATGCATACCTTACTAGAGGTTGTTTCAATAGACCTTCGGTTTTAGGAAAAACTTTTCAAAGCAGTTAGAAAAAAGATAAAAGGAAAGTGAAGAAGCCATGGCAAAATACTAAAGAAAATGTGACAAATCATTCTGTAAAGGAACATTAGTTACAATAAAATAATACGATAATAGTAGTACAAAAACCGATTAGTAGTGCAGAATCAAAGAACAAAAAACTATAAGAGTAATACTATGTCTACTAGGATGGAATGATAAGCGGCACAATGCTCAACTACCTACTAACCTTCTACCCTAATCCTTGTCCTTCATAACCTTCTAAGTCTAAGGTCATACCCTAATCCTTGTCCTTCATAACCTTCTATCAGTAAGCTGAAGTTGTGTCATGCCTTGTCTAATGAAAAATAGAAAAGAGAAATATACAAGTTTGACATGAATTTGAGACCGATGTACTTTTTGAGATCTGATTTAATACACTGCTAGGTTTTTTGAAATTTTCCTAACCATGTTATTTCCTTTATAGATGTGCTCATTTTGCAATATATGATGGGCATGGAGGTCGATTAGCTGCTGAGTATGCCCGGAAGCATTTACATGCCAATGTTCTATCTGCAGGCTTACCACGTGAGTTGGTGTGTTTGCTTAGTCTTGTTAGTGTTAGTCTAATATTTGTTGCGACCATTGGTCAATCATCAATTGTTGCATAGTTTCTGTTACTAGTGGTTACTTTCTATTTTGTTTCTGTTCTGTGTACTATGTGCTCATTGTCATTCTTTCAATGAATTTGCAGTTGGATGTTAAAGCAGCCAAAAAGGCCATACTCGAAGGTATGGTACTGGGCTTCTTTGCTAGATATTTAAACTTGATATTATTGCTCCTTCGCCTGTTTTCAATTGATCCAACTATTGATATTACCCATGGTGGATTAATGTATTCTCTTTTCCATTTTTCATGTCTATCAGGATTTAGGAGAACTGATGAGTCTCTTCTTCAGGAAAGCACCAAAGGTATCTTTTTCTCAGTTCAAACCTTTTTCTGTATTCTTGGTTTCCTTAAAAGTTTCATCAGGAGGTCCTTTTTATCTAATTTGACAGCAATGATTGAATATAATTGTGATTTTGTTTTCCCATTCAAGATTTGTGTTTGGTAGTCCTAATTTTTATATGCTGACGCTATCCTACTTGATCCCTGTATCTTTTATTTTCATTGAGAAGGAAAAAGGAAAATAAGCTATATATTTTTATGGCGGTGGATGGCCTGAATTGTTTCTGATACTTCTCATGATGGCCTGGTGGTAATGATGTTGGTGTTTAATAGTTTCAAAAGCAAGACTTTTGCCTTGAGAAAATTTGGTCAATTATAATTCATTGCGATCAGTGATGGATTTCGGGTTATTGCTGTTTCTACCAGTGATATATTGGATTTGGGGTAATTGCTGGATTTGAGGCAATTTCACCTCTTTCTGGAAGGTTCTGTTGAATGGTGTTGCTATCTTTCATTTTTGATGTTTTTATTCCATCTAGCCTGTCTAGCTAGTGGCACTAGAAACCTCGAGGTCTACACAAGCATCAATTCACTAACAGCAAAAACTGTTCATCTAATGAGAAAACTGTTCATTTCTCCATTACATTGAATTTGCTGTGTCATTTACATCTAAAAGCATTAGTATGTTTTACAATATGTACATATTTTATCATGTTTTCTCATGATCAGGAGGTAAAGAGTGGTAGGCTAGATAGTCAATCAGATAGTTAGGAAATGATGTTGGTTCATTTTCCCTCAGAAATGCTAGTGAAAATTGATCATTTGTTTGAATTGCCACTACCCAGGCTCTGTATTATTTTAGGCAGTTCGGTGCACTAAGCTCCCGCTATGTGCAGGGTCTGGGGAAGGGCCGGACCCAAGCTTTGTATGTGATACTTAAAGTATACACCAATGGTTCAAGACCCTTCATTGTCAAACCTGGTTGTATAGTCAATTGAAAAGGTTTGACTGCTTAGTACTTTCGGTTTACATAAGGCATGATACTAGGTAAGTAAAACCGTAAAAGAAGCAACAGTGACTTTCTGGTTTTCGTTTCCATTTTTGGAATACTGAACTGAATATCTTGACTTCTTTTCAGGGTTTTGTTTCTTCGGAAGACATTCTTTATCTCTTTGTTTAACCTCTTCTTATGTATTTTGCATTTCTGCTCAGTCTGTACCTTTCTTCACTTCTTGAAAGCATTCACCTATTTGTATCTTTCATGTTTGAATGCTTTAAATGCTTTTTCTGATATCACATATCTGGTATTTTACTCTGAATTGTAAAATGTTATCACTTCTCTGGTATTTTACTCTAAATTGTTTAGTTTTATCACTTCTTTGATTCATATTCCAATGTTCAAGCTGTGTTTGTTATTTGCTAAGGATCTTCAGCTTTCCATTTTCTTAGTCTCTTTTAAAAGCTGATAACCTACTTACAGTTTTTAGATGCATCGACAGGTGGTTGGCAAGATGGAGCAGCTGCAGTATGTGTCTGGGTATTAGGCTCCAAAGTAAGTTTGATCTTATAATTCTTTATGTACTCAAATTAGTGGTTGGTTTTTGAGCTCCACCATGATTCTCTTTCCACACTGTTGAACTTGTTGGAATGATGGTTTTGGCATCAGAAGCATATACAGCTTGAGGAACACTCATAGTTCTAGTGTGAGTCCATCAATATTAGATTGGTCTGCTTACTATCTCTCACACACAGACATGTAGAAGTGTATATCTATTCCTTTCAGGGAAAACCTACATTAAGATACTTCAAATCTTGGTGCTAAAGCTTTTGTGACATGCGGTGTGGTCCTGAAAGAGTCATCTGGATGTTGAGCGTCAAACCAACTACCATTAGTATCTCTGTAAAGTAGTTCCTCTAATCTAAGTTATCTTCATGTAAAACTTACTCTTCAAATAAGCTGCGGCGCCTCACAAATATGTACTTCCCTTGCTATCAGTTTCATAGTCTCCCAGGGATTTGCATTGAATATCTAATGAACTTTGCACTATGGCTGATTAGGTGTTTGTTGCTAATATTGGAGATGCGAAAGCAATTTTAGCTCGGTCATCTCCAACTGACGGTTCGAACAACACTACTGATGGATCAACTCCAATAAAGGCCATAGTCTTGACCAGGGAACACAAGGCTATATATCCTCAAGAACGTGCACGCATCCAAAAAGTAAGCATTAGGCAATGAGTGCCTTTTGAATGCTTAAACCATTTCTCATTTTTGTAGTGGTGCTGGATTATCTATCTTGTTTTCTTACTCTCAAAGACTGGCTAAAGTTTGTTTAACTTATGATAATTTATGATCCATTTTGATCAAATAATTAGATATTGATTCTGGATTTAGGTACTTTCAAACTGAATGTGTTCCATAATCTTTGTCCAGATATAATCTCATATAATAGCACATGTATATACCTTTCAGACGGAAGTAGATAAGAAGGATCTTGTTGGCAAAAGAATTAGGTGATTTCTTTCCATGCTCAAGTCTTGGTAGGCAGAGATACCTGATACCTATGCTGGTGAGAGGTGACAGGTATAAGTGGATTTAGTCGAGGTGCATGCAAGCTTTCCAAAAGATACTCATTAGGGAGTAGTGGCCAGATTAGTCTGTTATTTCTTTCCTAAAAAATTCAAGGCTACTATCTAGATGACAAGTAGTTCCAACAATTTTTTTTGATAAGTGCTTCTGAATTGATTTTTTCTTGTCATAAGTTGAACATAGTGCCCAAATCATTTCTTGCTTTTTTTTTTGGTTAACAGAGATTTTCATTCATAACCAAGGGATCATTACAAATCAACACAGTTTTACGACTAACTGCTTCTCATACTATCCATTTATCTTTCTAATCATACAGAAAACAAGCAAGAAACTAATCTATTACAATGCAAAGAGCCTAACTCTAAGGATACTTATTAAGAGCTTGTAGTATAGGTTTCCATTTTGCCTTGTGTTGTCCTCTGAGATGAATATGCATTGCGATCTCCCTTAGGACCTTGTCTACGCATAAACTCCCTCGCTGGAACCTGATCTTATTTCTTTCTCTCCAAATGATGTAGACAATCATCACAAACACACTAGTCTTGATCTCAGCACCTCCTGCATTCGTTTTAGCAATATCACTGATCCAAGCTATCTCTGATCTCCAGTCTTGAACAACTCTTTGGATTCCCAGACAGTTACATAGCCGTCCCCATAAAGTCATTGTCACCTGGCATTCAAAGTAGAGATGATCAAAAGTTTCCTTTGCTATGCCACTGAACACACAGTCAGGTGGCACCTGGATGCCAAGCTTTTCAAGTCTTTCAGCTGTTGCTAATCTTTTCTGCACAGCCCCACAAAATGAATTTGAATCTAGTATGTACTCCATGCTGCAAGGTAATACTCTTCCATTCAATTCTTGGGAAAGTAGGCATAATGTAGGTATACATCTTCTTAGTAGAAAACTTCCCACCCTTCTGTGTCTTTGCAAACTCACCATCAAATTACCCTGCCCAGCTTGCCTTTTAAGCAACACATCTCTAGTCCCCAATATCTTTCTCACTACCCACGAAGCATCAGTAGGTAGGAGGACAGTTTCTTGCTTCTCTGTTATGGTTATTGACTTCTGCTGATGAATATCCATGGTCCTGTAGGCTGGGGGATCTGTCAGTTCTAATGGACGATTACAAGCGCGCCTTGAAGTTTCCAGAGCTTTCGGAGATCGGCAGTTCAAGAAGGTTTGTGTGCTAAGATTAAAAGTATCTCAATGTTGACCAGACCTTTTCTTTTTCCTTTAATTTTTTATTGGTGATTGTGTGACTATAATTGTTTCTTTCTGTTTATCCATATTGCAAGTGATAATGTGTTTTTGCATGGTTTTATAGAAACATAATTGAGCATCCTAAGAAATTACTATTGTTATCTGTAGCTGCTCCGTTTTTGTTATTTCCCTATCCTCTGAAAGGTTTTCATGTACAGAGTAAAGTGTGGGGTAAGTTTGATGGTGCATTTGCTGCATATACAGTTCATATATGATCAGCAAAGTCATGTTTTCCTAGTGTTTTGGCCTTGTACGTTCCAAAAAAATCATGCTACATAGGTGTCCATGAATTAAGCTGTGTTTAAAAGAACTGATCATTTGAGACAGGTGATAGATTCGTTTGTTTCTCTATCTATCAAGTTTATCTGACAAACCTTGATTTTGGGAATGGATGAAATGACCCACATCTACACATAATATACGCAAATGTGTGTGTGTGTGTGTCTACTTATCACTTCTTCATTAGTCTTTTGTTGCTTGAAGGAATCCTGTGGATAGTGGATTTTCATATATGTGCATGTGGCTGCTCAAATATCTTCCAGAGAATTCAATAGCTGGTTGAATTACTTGTTGAACATGCAGTTTATCGTGTATTTCATCTTTTTCATGTAAAGGAATTCAATATGCAGGTTGGTGTCATTGCAACTCCAGATGTTCATTCATTTGACCTTACCGAGAGAGACCACTTTGTCATTCTTGGCTGTGATGGCTTGTGGGGGGTATCTTTATTTTTTCCTTATTGTATTATTCTTATAGTCATGCATACAACCACTATGCTTGGGGTGCCCATCCCGGGGATATTACTTTTTCCATATGATTGTAGGTTTTTGGGCCAAGTGATGCTGTTGATTTTGTTCAGAAGCTATTAAAGGTATGTCATCCCCCCACCGTTCTGTCACCCCTTGGAAAGTTAAGCAGTCTCCCAATGATTTGCACTTTTTGACTAATTTCTGTTAGCAGCTTGCTTTAACCTTTGCATCTGTTTGACAGGAGGAGCTATCTGTGAAAGCTGTGAGTCGCCGCCTTGTGCGGGAGGCAGTCCGAGAGCGTCAATGCAAAGATAACTGCTCCGCTGTTGTAATTGCTTTCAGGAAAAAGCAGTAAAACTCCGAAATTTGTTCAAAAAGAATCTTAGAGTCTAGGCAACCAGATCTGGTCTTGTTCTTTGGTTCATACTTTGTGATGGGTTGTATCATGCTTTCATCTAATGTAGTTGCAGATTCTTACATTTCAGATCTCTTGGCTTTTGACCAAGCTGTGCAATTTGTTGTAGAATAGGTCAGTCTTTGAAATCTTTTCCAGCACAAGACATGTATGAACAAACCATCCAAGTTGGATAAATTTTCATACAACTAATCGAGCTTTTTTGGTGGAAATTAAAGGATTCAAGCCTTTTCAGTTTGTTGTATTTGATTAGCTTTGCTTCATCAAGTGTTTTACCTTAATTTGAAGCTATTGCTTTCCTTTCATGGTCGTTAATATTCGTTCGATTTTTTCAAATTGCTGATTGAGAAATGAAAAATGTATGTACATTTCGTGTAATATTCTCATTCATGAATCATCTTGGTTAACTGTCCCAGATTTTATTTTATTTTATTTTTGGGTGACAAATTAGATAAGAATATTCTTTTTCTAATCGTAGAATCTCTTAATAAAACCTACCTACTACTCTGAAAAGATCAATAATAAAGATAACGTGGTTTTTGTCTACTGACAGAAGATTCTCAAAGGACAAACTATGATTTTGGTTGATTGCTTGTGAAAAGATTCTATTTATCAAATGCAAAGTTTATTTTACTTTCATTAGATTTCTTAAATTGATTATTAACTGTACTGATACTGATTGCCAAATGATACAGTCCTCCTATTGTGGACGTCAATTATCAGACTACTAGTTGTATATTGCAAAGTTGGGTATTTTATTATGAAAATTTTAACCAAAATGAAGGACCACATGGGATCTAAGATTCCTTTTTCTTTTAATCTTGTTGATAATGGCGATTTCATAGACAAGCTTGTATGCACTTAACTATCTCACCAGGTATCTAATGCGCACATCTTGGAACGATGAAAAGTAATCGCTAAGCATTTTTGTTTTGCTTGATTAAGATTTGAACCTCATGTCCTACTTACTTAAATTTAACTAAAAATAAACATAAACTCCTACCTAAATTAATAGCTGCAAAAATTAAAGAAATATCACAAAAATAGGGTGTGGGTTTCATATCTTTAAATTATTAACTACCAAACCAACATGCATAACTCCCACTTTGTCTCCCTAACAAAGTTCAAAAAAGTCTAAGTCAACCAATCATATAACATTTAGATAAAAAGAAATCTCATAATGGACAGATTTGCATGCAAAGCATAGAGCAACTATATCAATAAATGCTCATTATACATTAAGAGACTTAATTTTTTTTTAAAATATTCAAATCCCATAATATTATGTCTAAATGATCACTTTGCATATGCCAGTAACGTTGTTCTGTTTTCTCGCTCAATTATTCAATAATTTAATACACATTGTTTTTTCTTTCCAATTGACATCTTTCACTTTGTGTATATATATGGGGACAATTGTTAGTACTTGAGGATCTAAAGAGTAAAAAAAAATTAGAAAGAAATATCAAAAGATATGGAACCAAAAAGTGGCATTTCTGGAAAAGTGAAACTTCTTATAGCATTGCTTGTTTTGCAATTATGTTTTGCAGGATTTCATATAGTTTCAAGACTTGCACTTAATATTGGTGTCAGCCAAATTGTGTATCCTGTTTATAGAAATATTATTGCATTGGTTTTGTTAGGACCCTTTGCTTATTTCTTGGAAAAGTGAGTCTACATTTTCAACAAAACACAATTATTTTGCCCTTTTACCATTATTTCTTGATTTATAATCTTCTTTTGATTTATACAGGAAGGAAAGACCACCCCTCACATTCTCTCTATTGGTTCAATTTTTTTTCCTTGCATTAATAGGGTAAGCAAGTAGCAAGAGGAGTTATCAACTTCCTATTTTTTTCTTTTCGAATACAACTATGTACACTAAAAGTACAAAGAACTTTTATACTATTAGGTCAACTGAAAGATAACTACATGTAGTTGTTTTATAAAAAACAAGATTAGTAAGAAATAATGTAAGTTACTAGCTACAATACGCTTAAATACATAAACAGTAAAAATTCTTTACATTGTCAATATTAGTAAATCATTTTTTGAAATGTATTTTGCTAATCATTGTAATTTTTTCCTTTTCAGAATCACAGCAAACCAAGGATTTTATATCTTAGGGTTGTATTATGCATCACCAACCTTTGCTTCAGCAATGCAAAATTCTGTTCCTGCTATTACTTTTATCATGGCTTCTATTCTAAGGTATGCAAGAGCTCATCAAAATGACTCACTTCATTTTATTTTTGTTGATAACCCTGGTGTCCGCGTTACTCTGTCCGCTAAGACAGATGAAAAGAAATGACTGGATTTAACCTGAGACCTCATGGTTCTCAACTAACGTCATTGACCACTAACCTTCCATCAAAATGACACATTTACATGGATTCATTAATTTTTGTATCAAAGTATTGAGACTAAAATACATTTTTGTATACTCTCAGGCTAGAAAGAATTCATTTTATGAGGAGAGATGGCATGGCTAAAGTTCTGGGAACCATAGTAAGTGTTGGAGGAGCCACAGTTATTACTCTTTGCAAGGGCCCTCCTCTGTTAAAAGGAAGCAATATTTTTGATGAAGAAATGGCTGCTTCTCAAGAGGACATGCTGAATTGGACATGGGGTTGTGTTTATTTGCTTGCTCACTGCTTATCATGGGCTGGTTGGATGGTTCTTCAGGTATCCCTCATGATTGCTAACCATTAAGACGGTATAAGTAGAACTAGTTGCAAGCAAAAAAAAAGGGGCATAACTTGGTATCTATGTTGCTCAGACTCTTCAAAAATGTTGTCAGATGCTTGTTTGATCCTCCAAAAAGTAATGCATTTTGGCAACATTTTTGAATAGCCTGCTACAACAAGTTAAATTACGCAGATCGCATATTATAATGAAATCACAACTGCAATTGTTGTTAGTAAGGCCAAGCAGTCTCCATATGGTTGACAACTTGTTATTTACTTGGTCTAATTAGTGTCTAATGGAACTTGGTAAATTATGCAGGCCCCAATGCTGAAGAAGTATCCAGCCAAGCTATCACTTACATCATTTACATGCTTCTTTGGATTGATCCAGTTCCTAGCTATAGCAGCTTTTACAGAAAGGGATCCAGCACATTGGAAGATCCAGTCAGGAGAGGAAATTTATCTGATTTTATATGCTGTAAGACCCTTATAATAATTAAAAAACCAACCTTTAATTCACCCTGTTTCACATAATCTTAATTAACATGAATGGCTAACAATTTTGAACTGCAATTGCATTTAGGGTATTATCTCTTCTGGAATAGTCATTTCTCTCCAGACTTGGTGCATTCAGAAAGGAGGACCAGTTTATGTTGCCTCATTCCAGCCTGTGCAAACAGTATTAGTTGCTGTTATGGCTTTTCTAATTCTTGGTGATCGGTTGTACTCTGGAGGGTAAGTCAAGAAATGATCTGGTGGAAAAATTTCAAACATTTGCTCAACTTTACCCGCTATAACAATAAAGTCAAAAAACTAATTTTTGTCACTGAACTTTAAAGTAACTGATATAGTATGTAAAGTTCAGTTACTTTAATGCGACAAAATAGTTTTTGAGTTTACTATCCCCCTTGCTCACAATAAATTGATCTCAAACTAATGAACCTTTAAATGCAGGATACTTGGAGGACTTCTGATTATGTTTGGGCTTTACCTAGTTTTGTGGGGTAAAACAGAAGAGAAAAGAGTTGCCAATACTGAAGAGACAACATTGACAAAACACCTTCTAGCTCCCAACAACAAGGAGGAAGCATCTACTGGAGCTGATAATTGCTAACAAAATATGTCAAATATTTTCTTTTTTCTTTCCCTTGAAATATTATTTCTTATTTTATGGTTTCTTTCTAGAAATTAAAGCTATAAGGTCAGTGTAACCTGGCATGGACACTGCTGTGCAACATTGAAGAGGAACAAATTTAGTTGAAGCCCAGATAATGAGGGCTGAATATGTCGTTTGGAAGCTTAACAGCTTTCTAGAATTATTTGTACAATTATACTACTTCCATGTAAACCTTTGAGAAGGAATCAGTCAAATTGGTGTTCCACAGGAACCATGACTTCTAAAAATATTCCAGTTTGCTTTTTTGTTTCCCTTTGATGTACAGTTTCTAATTTGGAATATTACTTTCAAATGATGGATTTTATTTATATCTACATTGTTCTCACTGTGAAGTCAATCCTGCCATTAACCCAATCCCCAAAGCCAATTGGGATTAATTCAAACCCATCGATTCAAAAATGGAAATTCTATGTTGAAGCTCCTCAAAGTAGATGACTTATAGAACCACCTATGCTAATTTATCCTTTCACTGACCCCAACTCATATAACTTACTGTACTTCAGATGACATATCAAACACAAAATGCTACTTCAAAATTAGAAAAGAGGTATAGAGTGTACAATACTACACACACTAAAAGGGATGATTTTATGTATTGAAAGTCTAAATGTGCATGTTCTTGATACATATTATAAAAACATAGCCAATCCTTCAGAAAGAGCAGATACCTGGCCTACTTGAAGAGAACCCATTCTAAGACGTGGTAACCATATTCTCAGAGCATAATAGAGCAGTTCATAGAAGACTTAAAGAAGATTAGAACGTACTGGAAAGAACAGTAGAGGTGTGTGTAAGTTTGACCTAGACATCACCGTGAAAAAAAAGACTTGAAGAAAAGGTAGCAACTTGTTTTAAGTGGTCTGGGAGCAAGCTTCGGTCATTCCCAACCATCTTGCCATAGAAATTCTGCTTTTATGGGAAGATGAAGCTTGTGTAGTCCATAACACCTATCACTTAATACAACAAATGGCCCAAAGAACTCAAAGTTGAGTGTGCTGAACCGGTCAGACTAAAGAAGTCCTAGTTACCACGTAGCTAGATAATGAGGGAAAGTGAGAACTTTTAATCTTGATCTGTAAATACATCAAACCTAAACCTCATCCAGCTGAATCCCCTATTCTAAAGATGCTAACTATTCTTGAGCTCAATTGGAAAATGGAGAAACAATGAGAAATCTGACACTAAACAAAATCCTTTCATTTCAAACCTAATCAGAGGAAAATCTTGATAGTCGCAGCTGACATCTCACAGGTTTAACAATGTAATATTAGGTGAGCTTAGATCACCATTACTATACCTCAATTGTCAGCTGCTACACCACACAGATTCTTTCTACATAAGATAAACTGAGTAGACTTGCTCAAGTTGATCTTG